CCAATCAAGGCGGCGCAAACGAGTCCGCCGCCGCCTCCCACAACAACAACGCCATGCTGAGGGACTACAGAAAAGGCAACTGGAATCTACAAGAGACAATGATCCTGATCGAGGCCAAGAGAATGGACGACGAGCGGAGGATGAGACGGCTGGGCGAGTCCTCTGGCAGCGGCGAGCGGGGCAAGCCGGCGGAGCTGCGGTGGAAGTGGGTGGAGGACTACTGCTGGCGGAAGGGCTGCCTGAGGAGCCAGAACCAATGCAACGACAAGTGGGACAACCTCATGCGGGACTTCAAGAAGGTCCGCGAGTACGAGCGCCGGGTGGCGGAGGAAGGACCTGCCGCCGGCGATCGGAGATCCTACTGGCGGATCGAGAAGACCGAGAGGAAGGACAATAACCTGCCGTCGAACATGCTGCCCCAGGTCTACGAAGCGCTGGTGGATGTGGTGGAGAAGAAGGGCCTTCGGCCGCCGCCGCCGCCGTCATCGCCCGTGGCGGAGAAAGGTGGTGTCTTTCGCCTTCCGGTAGTGTCCCCTCTGGCAACGCAGCAGCATTCCGTCAGTTACCATGCTCTGGCGATAGAACCGCCGCCGGCGGCGGCGGCGGAGGTGCCTTCTTTTCAGCCGCTACCCACAGTAGATTCCGACACCAGTGAGTACTCAGACTCGCCGGCGAAGAGAAGAAAGAGACCCGGAAGCGCCGCCGCCGAAGAAGGAACGAGCGGCGGCACATTACAAGAGTTGGGTTCGGCGATATCGAAAAGTGCTTCGGTTATTGCCGGAGCTATTCAGTCGTGCGAGGAGAGAGAAGAGAGGCGGCACCGGGAGATGATGAGCGTTCACGAGAGGAGGCTAAGGATAGAAGAATCGAAGGCTGAGATTAACCGGCAGGGAATCAACGGCCTTGTTGACTCCATTAACAAGCTCGCTAATTCGATCTTTGCCTTGGCGGCCCACAATAACGTCCAGTCCCCTCCAAAATAAAAACGATTTTATTAATTAATTACCATTAATTATAATTATTCATATATTTATTTCATTTATATTGATTATGATCATCAACCCTTTGGTTTAATTAATAATTAATCTTCTTTTTGTTAAATTTAATAATCTCATTGCCTAGGTAAATATGTTTATATAGAGAAAATGAGAGTAAAAAAAAAAAAGAGACATTTATTATTAAAAATATTTTATCCTACATATTACATTTTATGTGTTTATTAGAAACAGTCTTACTTACTAGAGATTCTACAATCCCTACAGAATCATTCCATTGGGGTTTGTAACCGTTAGATCAACTATCGACGACGGTTACATGTTGATCTAACAGTTACAAATTCTATAAATCTTAACTGAATGATTATATAACAAGACTGTAGTATTTTCCCTTACCTTAATTTAGTTTGAAGTAATTTAAGAGAGGTTGATGAAAGAAGATGAAGGTTATTAATTAATTAATAAATCATGTGTTGATGTGTGATAGTGTGATTGCATTTTAGCAATTTGGAATCTAAAAGAAAGTAATAATAATAAAAAACAAAAAAAAAA